TATAATGCGGTATTATCAAAGAGCATTTTAAAGGTCAAATATTCTTGAAAATTCTTACCAAATGTTCCAAGAAATTTTACTGTTTGATTCTATTGGTAGCCATTCCATCGCATAAAATGCCTATTTATGCTGAAGAAAACTTTTTTATCGACTTAATTTATTACTATGTATGAATTACGATAAAGTTTTTCGGAACTACTGAAGTATGCTGGATTGATCAAATAATAAAGCGAAGTAATGAAATGATCGTATAAAAATCTTAAAGAAAAACTCTGAAAACTGCTGAAGATGATGTATTAAACGTACATTCAAGCAGTGATTAGGCGTCACAGTGATGACATTTTGTTAAGCATCAACTCAACTAATTTCTTTGTAACTTTCAACATTCAAAAGGTGTGCATTCCATCTAATAGCACAACACGTTTGTGTTACTATGCAAATATCTTTTCTCTTTATTTATCGCTTCTTCAACTTTTTCTTGCTGTCAGAACTGTCGCCGACGTGGTGAATGTATTGGAGAGGTTTTCAATTAAACGGTTAATGACAACTAAAACACCTATATGTGTCATTAATTAACATTATGAATGACTTAATGATCGTGGTTTCGTGTGATTTAATGATGAATCATTCAGTCGTTTCGAGTAATGGCTTTTGCGTTTCATTTTTTTTGGCAAGTTATTCTGCTTTACATTTCTGACTGTTCCGTTCCGTTCCGTTCCGTTCTATTCCACATTCCTATTTTTCAAACTGTTCAGTATTTCCGAAGCTATTCTGTTTCGTTCTGCGGTTTAAACTCTTCTGTTCTATTTTTGCAGTCCAACTTTTGAAATTGTTTGTTGTATTCCTGTAGATCCGTGACCGGACTATTCGCCTAAAAACGTTATGCCTAAGGACAGTTTGCCTATTAGGCAAAATATTCATTAAAAAACCGTCCGTTAGGCAAACTGTCCTTAGGCAAAACATCTTTAGACGAATTGCCTGGGTACCCTGTAGATCAGAACAAAAATTGAATAGCAACAGAACAAGGACATCACTAGTTTTGATCTTACGATTTGTTTCATTCTGTTTTTCATGCTTTTGCAATGATCTAGAATTTATATTAGCTGAACAAAATCATTCTGCTTTAACGTGGAATTTCAAAATGGGCTTTATAACTGTCAGTTAAGTGTGATTATTGGTCAACTGACTCGATATGTTTCAGCAGTGTATTAATTTTTTTTTAATGAGCTCTGCGGGAATGAAAAAGAAATACTTTCAAATTTGTTGAATTTAAGCGCATTGAAAAGGTTTGTTTGTGTTTCTTATTAAAGTAAGTATCGCACTTCAATGATATAATTAACTATTAAGAATACTTTTCGGTTTTGATTATGATGTTACGCAGCACAATGCGAAGACGTATTCCATCATCAAATGAATAATCAATCGTTTCGTTTCGCGTTTCTCATCGATCAACGATGCACGCATTACATTGAGACGACGATGCGTGATTAATGTATCACCGTCATCAATAATATTACATGATGAGACCGATTCACTGTAAATTTTACATATCAATTATAGTCGTCCTCTTCTCAGTTGTTGTTCTGCAGTGCTTTTGGACCTATTCGGCCATTATATATCAGTTATTTTATAAGCGAAAGCACAAAAGTGCTTTCGCTCAAACCATTAGTTCGAATCGATTTATGAGATGTAGTCTGAATTTGCTAACTCCATGCGTACGGCATGATAATTCACTCCATTCGTCTACCAACTGAAATGATTTTGAACTTAAGAATAGGATTAATTCGTGCGATTCATGCAGTTAATTTTATGTGATTGTTTCAGTGTTATGCGAAATTCATTAAACTTTCATTGTTCTCATGAAGTTTTACTGAACTGAGAATGATTTTGGTGAACTTATTAATCAGTCATGTTCTTTGTAAAAATCATTTTTTGATGTTACAATCATTCATTTCATTAGTTACCCGTTGTCATCATCAGTTTTTTTTTTAAAGCAGAATGAAAACTAATTTTTGATTTTTGTTCGAAGTGACGAATTGTTTGTGTGAGATTTGTGCGATGCGATCGGATAAAAAGTGAATCAACATTATCATATTTCGTAAAGTGATCATAATCTCGTCAATAAACGACGTATTTATAGGAGTACGTACTCGTTAATGAAAATAAGTCATTCATTATGCAGATATGCACTTGTTGTTGTTCATTCTCTGCAAGCTTCTTCAACTAAACGAATGCTTTCTTCCAAAAACAGTCCGTCTAAATGCGTCTTTAGGTAATATCCACTATATGCGATCATTTAATTAAAAGTCATCCTGAAAGGATTCATCAAATAAGTATTCCCTTTGCTTTGCTCCCATCCAGATTCCTTTCTTTGCTTTGATTGAACTTTAATTCAGTTTGACAATTAGCGAACATTTTTTAATGAAATTAACCGAAATCTGTTGTATTGGAACGATTCTATATTAGAGCTGATCCAGGTACGAGGTGCCACAATTTTGTTTTAGTCAAATTTTAAAACAAACATCAATTTTGAGTGCGACTTTCTCATATAGAATAGTTCATCCAATGAAAATGAACAAAAATTTTGATTATAAGATCAAATTTCGTTTTCAGTAAACATTTCACGAGCAAGTAGCATCTATGCAGTCAAAGTATATGCAGCAACAAAAACATCCTCTTGAAATCATTGTTTAAGAAGGAATCATCATTTGATCAGTCACACTCATCCTCGTGAAATGAGTGAATCCTATTTGCTACTTGTATTTCATACGCACGCACATATCATAACATCTAAGCAATTTATTCGATTCGCATGAAGATGCGTATGAAAATGTCACAGTTTCAATGATCATTTCTTGAATTCGATTTGAGTATTGAATTATTTTTCATGTGAGACGTTACGGAATTTCAATGAATTTATGCCTGTGTTGATAATTATTCCTTTAAACGCATGTTCGTTCTCCTTTGAAACAATCACAGCTCTGTTGCATTGCGTTGCTGCAAATCATTTTCGTTTGGCTATCGCTTTCCATTCCTTCTACCTAATCGTTCCTTTTTTTGAAAAGTGAATGCGCCTGTTGCTCTCACCATTCGTCACTCATCTGAATTTTTTCGTTCATAAAAGCTGGAAGAAAGACTAACGAAAAGTGAATAAACGAATAAAAGTGCGATTCTATTGTGATAGATAAATTTTTATGCCATTTCGGTGCTCTTTTAGTGGGCTTAGTTAGTTGGTGCTTTGCTCATTCAGTTTCTCAATTATGCGCTGAGTTACCTTCATTCTGTATTCACTGTTTTCACCGTTTGAGCACCTCAACGAAAATAGCATTTGGGTTGATTTTTCAATGCTTGAATGATTTGAAATCAAGTTTTAGCGAACTTTGATGGAGCGTTATGTGCATCATACTTCGATCAGTGCAATGCAGCTTCATTTATGTTGTGTGTAAAGAGCGAGTAAATTCCCTTATCAAAATAAGCTCATTTAAATTTACCCTTTGCCGCTCTCCAATATGGCGATTTTAATCCATACCTCTCGAGCGAAGAATGTTACTGTTGATTATTTGTAATGGAGAATTTCTTTAAGAGTGTTTGTATGCCGAACTTATCTAAATCAGATACGTCAATCATTTAGCCTGACCGAGTGAAGAATGATTTATGAAGTGCTCTCACTCTTCTGTCATCATCAGCTTCTTTTCAACAATTATGTTCTTGTAACATCGTAATTTGAGTTTAACGAAATGATTGAATGTACAGTTTTGATGATGCTAAGAAGCATTAAAATGCGCAATTTCAGTGTAAATATGAAATGATCATTAGTGACAAGTTGTCTAATTTAGAATCGTATTTCGTATTCAGTTGTGACTAGTTCACATGTGCTTAGACCTATTCAAGAGAATATTGCAATTCATTGATATTATTTGTCAGTAATGTTTTCAGTAGCTGCGTTTGGTTTTTCGTATCCGAAATAGGCTCTGTGAGTTGATTGTTCGTAAAATTGCACTACGTCATTGCTTTATCTTGATTCGTTTAAACACCATTGTAACGTTTTCCGTCGATGCGTTTATTTTATATACAATCAGTATTATGTGAGTCGAGTGGAAATGCTCATATAGCAATAGGTATTTCAGAAGTTTTCATCATTCAAACAAAATGACAACTAGCAGTGAAGATGAGACAACTGCTGGTGTTTCACCATCAGCAAACGATACTAAATCGAATACTGTCACTACACATGCAAACAAAACTGAGGTTTTTCATTATTTATTCATGAGTTGCTTAGGCTTGATCTTGAACATTCATTGAAACAATCAATGGATGTGTCAATAAACACCGAAACACGATAACGCTCTTATAGTTATCGTTTTTGTTCGGCATACTACCTGTCAACTGTTAAGTATTAGAATGAGTTGATCCGCTTATCGAATGCTTCGTTCCTTTTTGTTTCTGACACTATACTAAAGAGTATAACGCGATTAAGCTTCCATTCTAATATGGCATTTTATTTCATTTCAAGAATAGATTACGCAATGTGACGATGATTATAGGGTGGTAGTGAGCAAAAAATCCTAAATCACGATACGAATGAAGTCACGCCACAGCCAATGAAAGACGAAAACACACCACATACTGACGATACAGTAAAGAAAGGTTTGAATATTTATAACTTCGATCATAGAGCTTATTTATTTACGATGTGATTATCTGCCATTTTGATTAGACTGAAATTATAATATTTCAGAAGTATCGCTTTTTCGTGCAGTTTGCAAAACGACATTAAATTTTCTCATGAAAGACACATTTATTGAGTGAATGTTTTATTGATTTTAATCATTACTCTAACGCCAGAACACGTGAGAAAGTATTTTCTGAAACATTAATCCGATCTGGATGGAACGTTTTTGCAAGGATCGTCTATTGTAAAGAATACAGTGAATTGAACTGATCCATCAAATTTGTTTATTTCCAAGAGCTTATTATGGCAGTTCATAGCATTATTTACATGCGATTGGGTTGCATTTACCAATTTTGTTAGGTGCTTATTGAAGTTAATTTCTAAATTTTCACCCTTCTCCTCAACAAGTTATTTCAATGATTTCAACAATACACATATTTGATGGTAAATGAGAGACAGAGAGGAGAAACAGTCTTTATCGACTGATTTAATCTTTAGTTCTTGTTTGTTTTCATTTAAAAAGATGTTACTGTACGACCATAATTTTCCCTACCACATTGCGTACTATAATAATTGCTACTAATTAGTTTCATAAAACTTATCAAGTACACACATCAAATGATCACAAACATTTTTGACTGTTTTGTCGTGCTACTATACGGTGTACTTTCAATATGTGAATTTCCATAGAATAAATCTCAATTCACTTTGTTGTGCCCTCGTGAGCGATTGAACAATTAAAGCAGACAGCTATCCATCCGCATTGTTGAGTAGTTATGTGTAGTATCGGAATGTGAGACGGTTCATTAGTAAAAACATCGGGAACGGGAGCGATCAGCTTAAGTAAGGGCGCATTTGCAAGCCAATACATTCATGACATTTAGTTCGCTTTGGGAAGTTATTCATTTAGAATATGACGCATATTGATAAGGAGTAGAATGAGGATATGTAAAAGAGGAATGAAATTCACATAATGTAAGTACACCATGTACAACGAGATGTGATACGCTGAAAATGACCTCGTTAATATGTTTAGCTACTTATGCATGATACAACTTATGCAATGAATATACGTTTTTAAATTGGACAGTGATTTATTGGATGGTTGTTGAATGAAGTTGTAGAGAATTCACACTTTAGTATATATTTTATGGAATGGTTAACACATTTCAAATTAGTATCGTTAGTGAGTAATCAATCCTACGTAAAAGGTGAACTCGAATGGAAAAGATGAAAATGCTTGGATAATATAAAATAGTTGTACTACTTGGAGGGGTTGCGAATGGTGGTGATGTGCAACAGAATGCAGCTGATGATGCTGATAATGCTTCATATGCAGATAGCGCCAACGATGCAAACGCCGAACTTGATTTTAGTACATTTACACTCAACAATATCGATTATACAGGTTCATATTTTTACTTCTTGAAATTAATCAATTATCTTCGTTTACGCTGAATATAAGCCAGTTGTTTGATTGGTGATCGACTCTGTCATGAAGCGTCTTCTTGAACTGCCCGACATTCTGGTGTCAATATCTTTTAACTTAAGTTGTGAGTGCACACATCATCTGAATAAAGTTAGAATGCATCGTATGAAGGGAATCGAATTTGAAAGTAATCAGAGTGTTGGATCGTTTTGATCTCATCAACATATATGAAGCAGTTTTCGTTACCTGAGTTCAACATTCAGTAGCACTTATCCTTCAGAATGACATTTTCATAATGCGTTTATTTGATGCTCATTGTCATATGGAGTTCTTTTTGGTTCGTACACATAATGATGGAAATGATCATTGAAAGCAGTGCATCCAAGTTGATTTGGTCGTGTAGGTGATGTACCTGGCGATGCAGCTGTTGATGATATGTTACCTGTACCACCGGATGGCGGTTATGGATGGGTGATCGTTATCGCAGCATTCGTATCGAACTTTGTTGTTGATGGAATATCGAATTCATTCGGTGCTTTTATGACTGTTTATCAAGATCATTTCAAGGAATCGAAAGCAGTTATATCACTCATTGGATCACTTTTAATTGGTTGTTATCTTCTAATCGGTTAGAAATTATTATTAATTCTTATTATTCATATGATGAATGAGTGTGTTGAACGTGTTGTGATGGGAGATTTTTCAAGTGAATTTGCAGTTGATTCATCAACAGCGACTTCGGAAAGTTTATCACCAAGCATTGTAGGTCCGTTTGCTGGAGGTCTGGTCAACAAGTATGGTGCCAGAGTGGTCGTCATTGCAGGTTCTGTACTCACGGGTTTGTCGTTTGCAGCGTCCATTGTTGCACCAAATGTTTATACGTTTATGTTCTTCTACGGGTTTCTTGGAGGTGAGTTCGTAACTATTTCTGTTTTCTTCGTCATTTTTTTTTCGATAAGTTTTGGGCTTTCACTCGTCTGACTCAGTGAACAAATAGTATTGAGTAAAAACGAAATATTATACATACATGAATGGTTACTGAATGCAAGTATTGTGACCGAATGGAGTAAAATGCTGACGAAACTAGCTGAAGTTATTGGTAACACTGATGAAATAAATCTCTTTTGAACACCTCTGTGCAAAGCTATCGTGCAGCATGGAACGATGCCAGTGATATTCACACGATGCATTTACACTCTGCAAACTGTAATATACCGCATATTAGTTATCTCATGAATGAACAGTGAATCATCGAACTGATTCATAAAATGAATCTGGCAAAATTGGATCACTGAAGACAACTTTGAAAGATGTGTGAGATGTGAATTTTTTAGGGTATATTTTCATGTGTACGGAATGAATGGATTTGTTGTTGCGTTTATTCGGAAGCAGCATTCTGATTGACTCTGAATTCTGATCTTCAGCACGACCACATGTTTCAGGCGCTGGCTTCGGTTTGATATATCTACCGTCGATAGTTTGTGTGAGCTTTTATTTTGAAAAAAAACGATCGATGGCTACTGGAATTGCAGTTGCCGGTTCCGGTGTTGGCACCTTTTTGTTACCGCCACTTTGTATATATTTCATTAACTGTGCGTTTTATCTTCATCCACTTCTTTCCAGTTTTATTTATGTCCAATTAAGAGATAAAATTTAATGTATTCTTTTGCTCTTAGAAACATTGGCAGTTTTCTAAGCGATAATCTCAACTGTCTGCACTGATCATCTTAAGCGTTCTTTCATGATAATTTGAGCACTGTTTGTTGATAATGTAACCTTGAAATGCTCGAAACTACTTGGAAATTGGCGAATAGCTATGAAAATTGATAATTGTCATGACACTTTACCAGATCAACGTTAAGATATCATTATCAATTATCAAGCTATTAATCTATCAAGCTTTAAGCTACACCTAATTGAGTGTTTGATAGACACTAAAATGGTGAACAGTTAATGTGTAACGTTCAATTTAGTGTGAAACTTAGATCTCTGGAGATATGTAGGGACGAATGAAAAGAGTGAAGAAAAAAAATGAAAAGATTATGATGTGAAGCTGTTTGCCTTCAGCATATGGATGGCAGGTAACCGTTTGCGTTCTGGCTGGTATCTCACTCACATGTGTTGGCTTTGGTGCTCTCTACAGGCCACTTCAAGTTAACAAGTCGCCTGATGATAAGGAGAAGAAGCCAATAAAGCCTGCTGATGTCGAAAATGTAACATTCATTTTTGAAATTCTATAATTATGTCTGAGCATTCTCTGTTCACCATAAAAACAACGATGATGCTCATAGAGCAGTGGTTCTCAACCTTTTTTGCTTCGTGTACCCCCTAAAAAATTTTAAGATGCCCTCGTACCCCATACCTTACCTCCCGCACCCTCCCGCACTCCTCATTCATCCCCTCTCATCGCAACCATTCTTGCACTCCTCTCAACCCACCCTCTCTCAGACCCCCTGGCATGCCGTCTCGGATCACCAGGAGGTCCATGGACCCCAGGTTGAGAAATCCTGTCATAGAGAAATGAAGAATGGCAACTGCTTACGCATATTATGTTGATAATGTTTCATGTTGATAGCAGTACAAGTGCTTCTGAGAGAATACGTGTTGTAGTAATGCTTTTCTGTTTTTGCTTGATAGAAAATGTTTTTGAAAGTGCATTAGGAATGAGCAAGGTTTGCAGCGTCCTGTGTCAGATTTGTCGGGTGATGGTAGTGAAAGTCCAGGGAAGAAACAACCTCGTGCATCATCTGTAACTGCAAATGGTGAACCAGGTTTGTGCTCATGATACCGAGTGAATTTATTCTAAAGTTGTTTGTTTAAAGATTGGCGTTCAGTGTGGATTCAAAAACAATATTTTGACATGCCAGTCTCATTTTTTGTTGTTGGGACTGTTATTCAATTGAATTGTTATTTATTTGTTTTATTATCTTATTTTTGATTTTGCAGATGGTGGTGTTGTTGAAGATTCTGTAGCGTTTGCACGACTGCGATCGGCATTGAGCGAATGCGAAAATGACGCCGAGAGCCCAACAACGCCATTACGTCCACAGTTATCATCGATCTCCGAGAATAAGGTGTTGAATAAAAGTCGCGCTGGTTCCACTCACTATTCACATCCAGATAAATCACATGCACCCGCATCCCGTACTCGCAAATTAACGCAAGCTAGGTAATTATTTACTTCTAACCGTACGTACTATCAGGTCTACACGTCAGATTGATGCATTCAAAATCGATTATTATTCATCAAGTGAGCGTAATAAAAAAGTTTCACGCTTCAAACAAGTAAGGTATCCGTTAACATGCATTAAATTAACAAATGCTGTTCCAGTATCACGAGCGATGTGACGTCCACTAATGATCTGAAGCAGAGTCGTCACAATCTTTCGAATCAACTCAGCAGGATTTCGGCACGAAGTTACGCACAATCAATCAGTCGTCTATCCCAGTGTCCTCAAACATTAAAAGGCGCTCAGTCGATGGTGTCTGTTGTTGTGAGTTTTTAGACGACACACATCGGTCATTAAATATGTGCACAGCTAGGCGATATTGACACGTTCTTGTAATTGTCACAACATTACAACCTTTCTAGGATTCAGACATTAGATCATTTATGATCCGTTGAATTCATGCATATTCTGAGTACTTGTAAGCAGTGATGTCCAAGCCAAAAAACATTCTTTTGGCTCCAGCGAAAAAAAGTCAGCAACATTCAGAGACCAAAATTAAGAACTGCAGGATAGTTTCTCTCGGATCCGGATTCCATCGGAGCTGGAGCAGAGTAAGGCTAATCTTGTAGCTGGAATTGGAGCCGAAACTAACAAAAATGTGGAGCCGGAGCTGTGTCAGTTTTTAAAAATTTGGGCATCACTGGTTACAATTGATCATTGGTTATAAATGATTTTCATCGTGCGTATATTGCATGGGGGACGGGGTGGTGATGGTGCAGTATGTCTAAGGAAAAAAGCACTGAAAAACTGGAAAAGTTCGATAGGTGGCTGGAATAGAGGTGTAATTATTGCAGTGCATCTAGATTTGGCTAACAAAATGATTCATAAGCTTCTCTATCACCACTAAAGCTGGCTGAATACCACAGCAAAAGTGTTGCTTCTTCTGTAAAACAGCCAAAAGCCGGACCTTCTGGGTAAAAAACTGTGCGAAAAATTTTTATGCTGAGTCTTCGGCTCTGTTTATATGGGAAAATTATATTCACATTCGATAGAGAGAATTTTTTTACAGAGTAACATTGATCCAAAAGAGTTCACAAGACCGATGAACAGACGCGATATTTTCTATCAAGGCTCAATCAAGAATCTACCCGAATTTGAAGACGAAGGTAGGAATTAGGAGTTTTTCCTGTCAGTGTTTGCTAGAAATTGATTGCCAACGACACACAAGAAGGCGTTCTATTTGTAATCATGCAACATCTATTGAATTTCTATATTCATTTCATAATGAGCTTTTAATGTGAAATCAAGAAACGATAAATATCGAAATGTTCAACTGTTCCATTCAATTATTTCAATGGATGGCTTTTTGCGGTCTTTTCCTATTTATAACTTTTGTGACTTCGATCTCCTGAATTTGCTACCGTTTTCTATCGAAAATTTTCGCTATCGAAATATAAATCACCTCGGTTTGTTGTCGAAAAATCTTTCGAATCTGAAACGAAGGCTCATTTTCAAGAATATCATTCGATATTATTCTATTGCAGGAAGGAATTATCGTAGTTATCGTGAATCACAAATTTCCATTCCTGCATCAGTGGTAGCACAAGCGACTAGTGCTTTATCACAAACTGATATCGCTGATATGCAGAGTCGTGTTGGTGGTAGCCGTATGAGCCGTATGACCGGTGGGTTGGCACCTGAGGATGAAGAGGTTTTTGAATATTACGATGATAGGTAAGTGCGTTTGATTCATCTGTGTGTTGAAGTATTCATTCATTTGTTGATGTAAGTTGAAAATAAAAGCAAACATCTGTTTTGCAGTAAATGCAAATGGATCCCGCTATCAATCCGTAATGCACTTCAAGAAATGGTTCATGTTGAACTATTGAAAGAACCAGTAATGGTGTTGCTTTGTTTATCGAATTTGTTTGGAATGCTTGGATTCTACGTACCGTTCATGTTTTTAATCGATATGGCTGGTGAAAAGAACATTCCTAAAGAGAAAGCCTCATTGTTACTATCTGTGATCGGTATTACTAACACACTCGGTTTGTCTTTATCAATTTCTTATTGGCCTCTTGCATGTTTACCCACTGGTATTCATACCAATCAGATTCAGCGAGACTGCATTTAAAGTTGCGACTAGCTGGAACTGAACAATTTTTCTTTGATGGTTGCTCTCTCAGAATCTACCTCAAATACCACTTGAAATCATTTTATCGTTCACTTGATCGCGCAGTTCAATTTTTATGGATAGCTGAATTGTTATTGAGATGAATATAAAATTTATAACAGCCGTTCATTCAGGTGCTCAATTACTTCAAATGTTTTGTCTTACCAATCAAATAAGCTACTTTTGAGAGATGTGCCTTTCAGGACGTATTGTCTCTGGCTGGTTAGCAGATCGCGGATGGGTTTCAGCACTAACCATCAATAATTTTTCGTTGCTATCGTGCGGTGTTCTCACATGCATATGTCCAATGTTACCCAATTTCATGGCTCTCTCAGTCTACGCAGTTTTGTTCGGTTTCATCATTTGTACGTACTTTTAATAATCAAAATGAATTAATTCATTTCCTCTACAATTCAATTTTAATTACAAAAATTACGCTTTAATAAACGTGTGATAGTCTGACCTATTAACGTTTGATTGCGAGAGAACATGATCGACGAATGGTATTTGAATTTTAAAGAGAAAGAAAGAATGGACTGAAATGAAATCATTAAATGGAGTTGAAGTGCTGATTTCATTGGAACAAGTGTTTAACGTCTAGGGGGTATTCAACGTAAAATTTCTTCCCAGTTTAATAAATGCATCTTTGAGTTACGAGTGTTAATCAAACGCTTTTTCGTAAGCAAGCGTCAAGTTCAAAAGACTGATGTCAGGTGCCCTGGTAAACGTGATTCGTGTTCGTCAAAAAACATTTCATGCAAAATTCAATCAAAAAAAAAAACTGCATATGTTCTCGTACTGCAATTGAACTAACTCATTATGAACAACAACGAGGAAGGCTGCTGCTGAGCGTTCCTTGTTGTTGTTCATTTTTCGATTTTTTTTGCTTGATTTCTGATGCATCAAATGGAAATGATTCGATGATGAAAATTCAATGATGAGAAAACAAAATTTCACAGTAATTGAATCACATTTTGGCTACCTAAACATTTCAGTATGGCAGTGCTTGGTAATTGGTGTTGAGCGTCCCACCTTTTTGATTTTCATTTATTAGTATTGTCCGTCGATTTTACTTTTCTATTTGAATTTTGCAGTCAAATTAAATGACAAACATGTACACAGAATTTGGTAGCTATCGAACCGCATCGTTTGAGTTGTTTGAACTTTGCAGCGCTGAACTTTGGGCGTTTTTTCTCATATTTCCTGTCGATTTCACTTGATGAGATAAAATGTGTACGAGTGAAGTGATTGATTAATTAGTGTGAAGATATTACGTTAACAAAAATAGATTTTCGAAAAATATGGTCATTTCGAAAAAATTAGTTAAAACTGCTGAAATTGATTTATAGCAAGAAGGGATGTTTACAATTAGATCCAGTTACTGATCTCGCAATACTGAAATGTTTTAGCAAATGGTGCAGCTAATTCAACTGCACTAAAATTTTGGATCGGGTGTTTTTAGGATGAAAGGAACTATTTTGCCTAGTCGACCAAAAGTCAAACAAAAATGCATTCGAATGGAGCTACGCGGCAATTTTTTCTCTGCTCTGGGTCTGTACTTCTGTATCTAGGGGAACAAGCTTATATAATAGCGATTAATGTTCGTCGGGGGACGGGAAACGCGAGGGGAGCTCCCCCCTCGCGCAATTTGCTCCCCGACTTTTTTTGCGGGGACCCTTCCGTCCGAAAAACTGCTCCCCGACGAACACTAGTTGTTCCAGTCATATTTCAATCAGATTGATCATTTTCATAATCAGCTTGTTATTTTCAGCTGCATATGTTTGTTTGACATCAATTGTGTTAGCCGATTTACTTGGACTTGAACGCCTCACGAATTCTTTCGGCCTATTAGTCGTAAGTCGTGGAATTGCATCGCTCTTAGGCACGCCTATAGCCGGTAAGTAACACGCCATTTAACTGAAAACAACTCAGTTTTGATGAGTACAAAAGCCATTCGCATGAATTTTATCGTAATTTTGCATTCTTATGTATTAGTTGGCACTAAATTTAATGAACTGACATGAAGAAGAAAGTGACGTTGTCGTTTGGTTGTGATATGATGTATTAATGTGAGCTGTGTGCTTGTATGGCATAACATTTGGTTTCAACAAAGCAATAAAAAAAGCACTGAATTTGTTTGATCTCCACGAGTATTGGAAATAAAAAGGATTTATCAAGGCATGGTCTACGATATAACTAAGTCATATGATGCGTCGTTTTATTTCGCTGGTGGCCTGATAATTTCTGCGGGACTCGTTTCGTGCGCAATTCCCTACTTACATCGACAAAATAAGGACAAAGTCGCTCTCGACGGTAAGATATTAATCCATATCAACAATTCATTGTCGACATCCTTTAGTTCTAGATAAATTAATGCGAGGAGAGAGGTGAGTAGAATTTGCTCACCAACCTCGTTGTTTGTCGAACTGAATTCGCCACCCAAGCATAGCAAAACACTAACAATAATTTGTGTACGCAATTAGTATCTTCACTATTCCCTCTCTTATTTCAGGTGAAGAGCAAAAAGATGCGGATGCTCAGTCAGGAAAACTATCGGTGTTAACAGAACATTCTGAAGAGAATCTAACCGAGTATCAGCGGACAATTCAAAGTTTACGTCAGCAACAGAAATTATTGTCTGAATATGATGAAGAACGCAAACGTAAAACGAAGCAACCTCGTCCAGTTTCAGAAGTCAATGAAGATGAGGATGACGATGAAGATGAAGCGAAAGGTGATCGGTCGGCTGCCAAGCCACTCATAGATTCAGCAACAGCTCATTAGGCCGCATTTCGTTTTTAAAATTTTTTAAAATTTCTCATCAAGAGCAGAAATAATTCGTCGTTTTTTTGCTACATTGTCGTTGATCATTATATTGGTCTAATCAAGTTATCGATTCCTTTTTCTTCATTCATTTAGACTCATATGTGCTAATGAATAATGCTTTAAAATCAATAGATTTTAATACCTTCCTTAAATCATCATCACGTTACATTGATAACTTTTCATCGATTCATTGCTGAATGATCGCAAAGCCAAGACGAGTGCAGTGCACACGATCACATTCGTATCCTTTATCGTGATAAGAACGTCAAATCTTTAAGTGATTTTCTGTTCACTGATGACCGTTGTAATTGTAACAAGTAACAATATCATTCATTCATCTACTTATAGGTCACTTGAACCCAACGTCGTCTCTTCACTGAGTTAAGTGTTTGTTAAGAAATTGTGTTTATTAAATAATTAGAGGTGGGAACATTCATTATTTTTTCACATTTCGATTGGCGTCAATGAATCTTCATTCATTCATTTGCAAAAAGCCTTGTTACTCGAAATTTGCGATCAGCAAATTCAGTGCGGGGTGTAAATTTATGGGTACGCGTTCGTTTGTTCGTTTGTTTGTATGATTGCATGACTAATGCTTTCCTGAAGAGAAGTTGCGATGCCAAATTGATCTCTTCGCTTCACCGATGCATCGCGTTGCTCGTTCATCGAATTCTTTGCTGTTTTTCATTTTATATATTTGTTTGTCTTTTTATTCCACGGTTGGCTTATTGACGTGCTTTGAGTCAACTGTTCGGATAAATGCGCATCGATCTGATCGGGCCTTTGTTTGTGAGATTGTCGTATGAATTCAGCTTGAATTCGTGTCGAAAATTACAATAATTTACCCAAGATAAGCGCTCATTACTTACATGCTGTTAGGAGTTAGTGTTGAAAAAAAAGAAGCCTTAAAGAGCAGCTAGATGACCGCTATTTGAATTAATTGGTTCAAACGAAAATGCTATGTTACAAGTGATGAATGTTGATGTGGAATAAAGAGTATTTCACTCCATTTTGGTCAGTTAGTAATCGATTCTTCTGTACGCAAATGCGGTTTGTTTTTAACCGGTTTCTCAATGAAGGAACAGTTTGCTGTGCGGGTTTAGCTCTTCATGAGCTGGAATGTACTTTTGTTTTTTGTGATGATTCTGGTACCTTTCTTATTTGAAATGGAACCATCTAATGTTATTTGTTGCATTTGATTGTTCATGAAATCAGGATGAGACACTGCAAACGTAAATGAACCAGTTCTAAATTCCATAGTGAACGAACAATAAGTGGATGATGGATCTGCAATGAATTGATCTTTTGTTTTCAACTCAAATTTTTAAAAAGTGATTTGAAAATAGATGATTTAAACATTAATTGAACGACTATTTGAAATAATGCAATTAATAATCAATGTGCATTCATTTCGTTGCATCTCAGTTTTTGAAATTCTTTTCTTATGATGTATATCTCTTAATGATTGTATTACACAGTTGTTCACTCGGAAATATTCAATATGTTATAGTGACAAAATTTGAACCATGAATTGAAAGAAATTATTCTCATTGAGAGGAAGTGTCAGAATTATTCGGCAGTCTGCAAATTCTATAACGACTTTTTGTAAATTTTCATATTGTTTTTAGCGGAAATTTTTTTCGTTTTTAAATTCGCGTTATTGAAGAGAGAATTTTCTCGAAAATTTGTCAATTAAACGATGACGCATTTAATAAGAATCTGATCCACAAAGGGCAAGTAGGTGATGCCATTTTTTTCACGTTTGTACGTTTCAGTGGTTCATAAGTTTGATAATTTTTATGTTTTTTTCTTTCCTTTGTGAAATCAGTTCCATTCCCTCCCGTTAAAGCTTTGTGCATTTGTATTTCAGCAAATGAGCTTTTTTTGCCTTTGGCCAGTTCTTGAAGTATTGAGACTTATGTTGATGCTGTCTTCATGCTGACACAATTTCTTGATATGTAATTTTATTTCGTTCAACTCGTTCTCACATCATTGAAAATAAACTTCTTCAATAAGATCAAACAAAATGAAGCTTACTGTTACACTCAATGCGATGCAGTTTTTAATTAAGCATCTCAACGATCTTCAGCATTGTAACAATGATGTCTCGATTCGTGATGAGAGTGTAACTGATGCCTAAGACGTTTCTCAGAAGTGCTGCAGGCTCGATGACTTCCATCGAAAACCACTAGACAATACGACTGATCAAAATTGGAGTCGATCTGATGATTGATGATAGTGAGACGACTATCAGAAATGCGAATACATCAACGAGTTGTTGTTGCTACAACAATATGAAAATGCGGCTAACCATAAACAACGAGCAAATAGTAACCTTCAGTGATGCTCTTGGGATCTCATCTGAACAGGTAGCACACAAAGTATGAATATGGATGCATTAATATGTAAATTGAATTAGTAATCTGAAGAGGCTTTTCAGAATGGAACGCATTTATGCTCTGGTGAAAATTCATTTTCGTCAGCTGAGACATATGGAGGTTTTTGTGGAATCGCTGAAGATTTTAACGGTATTGATGTATGTGCATTTATTCAGTTAGAATACTTGACCTAAGTTGATGGTCATTCCTGTACAGGATGGAAAACTCTTGAAGATTATTGGTCGCGAAGGCATTGAATTTGTCACAGATTCATTTCACGGTTTTGAAAATGTTACTTGTGTAGGTTGTATTTCTCATAATTGCATAAGGAAATAAAACAACCTTCCTAAGTTCGTGTAACGTTTAGCGTTACCGTTGAATTAACACATTCTCAAAGGCTGGATTATGTCTCATAAGTTTTGCCCAGAAAGCAAGAAAATAGAACAAATGTTCTCAATGAAAACATCTATGTTACCATTTGAAGAAAACTTAAACATTTCAAAGAAAACGAAGTTTCGAATAGAAGTTCAACAGCCAATTTGACCTCAAATCACTCAAAAGAACAAACGATTTAAATTCGCTAATATTGATTTAGTTGTTCGCGTGATACCTGTCCTCTCAGTTCATCGTGATTTTTTGAATAGAAATAAGCCATTGGGAAGTAGATAACATGCGATGAGGAATGCAGCATTTCCATTTCAATTATCTAACCCGTCCTGACCATACAAATCGCCTATAATTAAATGCACACAGTAAAGTGACAGTTACATTTATTTTGAGCATCCTAAAATGATGCAATCGAAGAATACTGCAAATCGAATTTCCTGAAACTGGCAGGTTTTATTCCGATCTTCTCATGATTACCAAATTTTTGAATGCTCTGGTTGGTTTGGAATTGTCTAACTCACTCGCATTTGCCCCTAAGAATTCCATAATTAGAGCAAACCATCTGTTTAAACTATTTCAGCGAATGAATCGAAATAATTTCTTCTTATCTAGAGTTATTAAACCGTGCACTTCCCTTCCACAGGTATCAGGTATGTGTATTTAAGAAATGCGCGTCATAGGATCCGTTCAAAGGCTCAGTCGGAATCGCGGTTTTCCTTCTATTCACCACTGCTCTCTTAACTCCCATTCCGTGACAGTCAAACATCCCTGTGACGCAAAGGAATGCTGGGGATGTTCCTTAGAGATTTGTAGTACAACATGTCTTAAACGAAAGTGATTGCAGTTTAATGTTCTCTCCGCAACTATGCTAGTAGTTTTCTGAAGCTATGATCCAAGCCTTAGAGTGCGAGCTTCCGTCAAGTTCGTACATGACTAATTTATTGCTGGAGACATTCTAGAGGTCTCCCTCTTCGTGGTTGAGGAATGCCAAATCTGTCCGTCCACCACAACTTGAGTGCTGTATGGGTGAACGAAAAAGAAAGAATATAATTTCACTCCCTTTACATTTGAAAAGGAATAATGAATCAACAAAGCGCTCTTCTCTTGACGGACCATTTCGACGAACCTCTTTTTTGCCGGCACTATCCTATTATGCGGGTTTATGTGAGCCATCCACCTCATTGTTAGATAACGCTCCTAGCCATCCGTAAAACATCACAAATTTTATGTTGATTGAAATTGGTAATTTTTTTCTTCCTGACGTTACGGTTGAATACGTTCCTTCTGACTCTAGCCTCCTTCTGCAGTTGATGAACCAGTAGGTCATTGTTAACTTGAAACTGTGTTGTTTAAATGAGAAACATGTTAGGACGGGTAATACTTGGGATCAGTCTTAATGTTTTATTACCGGCCTTGAATTCCTTAAGAAATGAGGCACAACAAAGGCAACAGTGAACATAAGAAATTTTCAAGGAAGTAAATTTGAACTGTCGTCCCATTTTTTCCCTTGATCCAACAGGTATTATTCAACAGTACATATGCATATACGTTGGGATTATTAATTATTACTTGGACATCGAGTGGTTGTTTCGTCAATCGCAGTGAGCGATCGGCGGAATATTTATTTTATTAGAGTAATGATTATTTATTGAATTGGTATTTGACTGCGTTTAATTATGCAAAGTATTCACGGCGACTAATTATTTACTCGGTTTTGTTATTGGCCTGCTCGCCTAGCCAGCGGGGTGGCGTAAATTGAGGCTAAAGCAATGCGTACGGAAACGCGAGCATTATGGCCAGCAACGTTATAAACGTTTGATAGCCTGTTTGCCAATCCAGGTAAAAACATATGCAATAAAACAGAACGCCTGAAACCACTTGATAATGGTTCAGAAGAGCCCTATTCGACTTATCTTTGGAAGGGGCCTTATTCGTTCACAAGGGCCTTATTCCAATCAGAGACATGAGGTTTTATTCTATATGAAGATGCCTAAAGATTGTTGACAGCACTCAAACAAGATACATTCGTTCTGTAACTGTGAAAACGGTCACATGAAATATGCTCTCTGTGTGTGGTCTGGCGTTCTATCTTGACAATACTGCTCCATCAGTAAGACGTTCCTCAGTATCATATGTCCTGCATCTACTGATACCGTTCTTGGAGTGTAGTCAAGGGATCAATGTCAGTCAACTGCCGTAACCACTAACACGAATTGTGATCTTATGCACGAGGAAATTACTCGCATGTTTAAGAAAAACACTGATGCGGCACAAAGTGAGATCAAGGCGGAAAAGCGAACGGCTCATGTGATGTGGGCGGTTCCATATATGTAGACCTCGACTCAAAAAAATCTATACTCAACTATTGAACACTTCAGACTCAATCATGCGTTGAAATGAAAGTTTTCAAGTTAGCAGTAGAAACAAAATTCCCAAGCGACAATGAATCTTTGACGAAAGTGTTTAAAATTTCGTAAAATGATTGCGAACGATGCGAGTCAAAAGAACTGAACTAATCCAGTGATAACTGATGTTTTTACTTCAACGTTTACGATAAGCAACACTGCAGATTGTTATTTTATTACAGCGTGGCACCATTCAACAATGCACTTTATCAGTCGACAATTTTGAGCTAATTAGAAGTAATAGAGTGGACCAGTAAAATGGAGAAGTGAAGTAAGAATGATGTTAAGGCAAAACAACCAATGATCGCGGGTTTGGGTCGAATTATACGGAAAACAATGCATGCGTATGGCACTGGATCAAATTTTATTGGCTTAATTCTTTAGCATAATTTCAATATGGATGCATTTGTTGATGAGATTGGGTTATTAGAAGACAACATTCATACTGCAGCCTTTCCTCTCGCACTCATCCGATGCGATCGTCTGCACGTGTTGCTTTCACATCGCCAATTCGACAGAACTTTTCGGCTGAATTCATTCGAAATATGTACATTTCAATAAATGATCATTTCAATAAATTTCAAATATTCTCTTTCATCACCGCGAGCAATGTACCATCTAATGTCTTATATGTTTGGTATGATTATGTGTTTTCACCTCTGATGAAGGCAAAGAATCACCAATGGAAATATACATTAGAATAATCTATGCTTACTGTTAATAGAAGTGAATTAGTTTTCATCCATCGAGTATGTTTCGGTTACATTGCAATCGTAATAAATTCGTTTTTCTGGAGTAATGCACAGTAACGATTTGAAGTGTTGCTCAAGGCTTATCGCATTCAGATAATTTCTGCTCAACTATTATCAGCACGAGCAGAGGGCCTCCATAATGAACGTAACTATCATAGCATACTGTTTTCTCTTCAAACCTCCTCATGAAATTATGATATTTTCCTTGCATAAATGAGTCTTTCCTACTCTCCAACGCATTTACAAAACTATTTCAAATGAGACGTATTTCCCCGAGCGGCAAATATCCTGTAAAATTATTCATGACTTCTTTATGAATTTTTTATTGCTAGGTTTTGCAATATGCAAGTCAATTACTTTTCAATACTGTTTACGATCGAGCATTGATTTACGCACAAAATCCATTCAAAAATAGCTAAACAACGCTGTGCATATATACGACTCAACAATTTTGATAGCGCCCGATAAGAAATGGAGCCATCACATTCCAGCACTCTGTTCGTTCCAGAATTGCAGTCATATTATAACTTGAGGTTTGGTTCAAGTGTGATTTAGCTTACGAAATCACTGTTCAATTCAATAGTGCAAATCGAACGTAATTTGATAAATATCATGAATTTCTATCCTTTGGCGCTAAAACTGATCGACATGAAGAGCATTACTGTAAGAAGTGAAAATCGTTGGATTACTCCATAAGCTTAATCTGAGGCGTGTATGAATCGAAACGTTTCTTCGCTGGAAACTCGTTTGTAAAAAGGAAATCTTCGTTGATTGAGAGACATAGATAAAATAGGATCAGACTATATGATTCATTTCTAATTGAACGTTATCCAACCTGACGAATACCGTCAACATTTTCTGATTTTTATTTTATTATACTCCATGAATATTCCTCTCCTCGTGAAATATTTATACAGATGCATTGATAGTGAGATACATCCACACTGTGAACTGACTGAAGTTTTACCTTGTATCAAAACGGCCAAAGTTCAGGTGAAAACATTACAGTCTAATACCTTATTGATGACAACTTACTCATAATCATTCCACTTCAGAAATAAGGACTTTTGAATTCATTCCATGAAGATGGAGCTATTATATTTATCCCACCTAAAAACGTGCTTTCAATGGTCTTCAGTCATGATGAGCCTATTTCTTTCCGGAAAATGTTTCTCTGCATACAATGAACCTGATAATATCAATTGCTAGAAAACTATCAACAAAACAACGCAGTATTAAAATTCTAAAAAAATTTCAAGACAGGCAAATTGAAAATGCAAGTGATTCTACATTGGCTAATCTTTCTGAAAACGAACGCAGTCAACCCTGTTGAAAGATACATATTAGCAATAAAAAGTGAACTGTGATCTGAAATAAGACCACTTCTGAGGATATAATTCAAATGAATCGTTCGCTGAATTCATCATCAGTAACGATCTCATCAGCAATCTCATTAAACTTACAGTATGGTGCTAATTGTACGCATACGATTTCACCGTTGAGCGTTGTTGATTTCACCGTTGCATCTCCTTGTGACTTAACCGAAATTCGCGTTACATTATCGTCATCATCTTCTTCATCATTGCTTGATGATGAACTTGCGTACATACGGGTTGGTCTTTTTGACGGCTTATTTTCTTCTTGGTTCGTACTTACTTTGGCATCAATTTTCTCGACGATTTCACCATCGTTCATCTTTTTCATATCAAATTGTTTCGATTCACTGTCGTTGAAGTTGAGTCCGCCAATGTTAGAGGTTTCACTTGTTTCAATATTCTGTCTATCAGTGTCATCACATAATTGATTATCTGCGCTGGCATGATTATTCAATGCTTGATTATCATAAGTGAACCGTAAGTGCTCGGCACCTGATGGAGTGGCTTGTTGTACTGCTGCTGATGGAATATACTGCTGCAATGTTTCATCAGTGTTTTGTGTTGAAGCGATAAAATCACTCGTCGCGCATACTGCTATTGCAATATCATTTGTATCTTGAATGATGCTTGCAGGTTGAGTAGTGAGCCTCGGAGGTTTTTGAGGATGTGAATTCACCGAGGCATTTGTCACATTCACGTTTGATGAAGACGTTTCGTGAAGAATGTCTGTGATATCATCCATTTCGTCTTCGTTTTCATCGTCCAATTCCAGTGATCCATTACCATATATTGAATTTAATGGACAGCTATAATTTGGTTCGTGTGCCCTCCGATATGCGCATTTCGTAGAATTTGTTGTCTCGTTGCTGTCTTCATATAAATTTACACAATCTTTTTCTCCATCCAAGTTCTCCGTTCTTTTTGAGTTTTTCAATAGTTCTTTCACGCTCGTATTATAAACTGACGATTCACTGGTTGATATCTGTAATACACAACTAATTTGATGATTGCTCATTACAAATATTATGAATATAACGAGTGCATAAAAAGAATCGTACGTGATCGATTTGAGCAGTACCATTCGACGTTCCAATTAGGTCGTTCAACGCCAGTGTCGTCACATTTGAGCAATCTTCTTTTAGCCTTCAAATGCTTATTAATTCACTGTTTCGTTGGTAAATTACGAAACGTTAACTGCACAACGGCTTTCATCTATATCAGCTTATCTATACCAGCATCAGTTTCGTACACTATTCATCGGAGTGATTCTTGAAATATCATTACATTCTTTGTGAAAAACACGTGCAAAATTGACCGAAATATTGGCAGTGGTGCGACAATCATGCAAATGGACTGACTTACTATGACGTCTAGAGTTGGGAACTAAAGGATATCTTTCAGTGGCCGCCTATAAAAAAATGAATTTGATTGTCAATTGGTTTTGCTCGATGGTGACCCAAATTCGATCGTCGATGGCTACCGACACAATGGCCAACAATTAACATTGACAAAACATGCTTGTTGGTCTGTGACCACCGATCAATCATGCAATTTCGATTTCCATCTATGCCTACTGACTCAACTCTTGTCACGTCGTCGAAGGTATCCTAAATTTCACCTATCCGCCTTCAGTATAGACATGGAAATCAATCCACTCGGGGCGAAAATGAAGATTTAGAAAATTGTTACTACACGGGAACTTCTTAATGAAAACATCATCAACTATCAAATATTAAAACTGTTAACCTTTTTGAAGTATGAGGTGAGATATTACCATTTTTCTGCGATTTATTATCATTCATGACGGTATTTGCGTCAACTTTGTTTTTTATAACCATACACTCGCCATCGATGAATGCGTCTCTTTTAATATTTGAGAAACTTGGTTGAACCGTTATCGTTCCAGCTGGAATTAGCTCCGACTTTTAGTTTATGTTCAAGCAAATTTTTTGCTTCCTCAACGCTACTAAAAACCGTTGACTGACACTCAAAGTAAAAGCGTTAACTAACGCTTTGTTAGCTCGTTTGATTTCGATTTGTTCCCTTTTGAAGAGCAACAACCACACAGACTTTTTCCAAATTCAGTGAATTTACCATCAGGTGTTGGTGTACTTGAAGACTGCAACTTTACATATGTATCAGTTGCTTTAATGCACTCTATAGATACATAATGATTGAATGTTGATGCTAACGGCCGAAATTTTTTACTTCCAAACGTGCTTAACAGAATGCTTCGCAAGCACGTGCTTGATATGAATGAATAAAGTTATATTCAGCATTGTTGTGTTATTACGAGAAAATCAATTTTCCAAAAGCCACTGGAATCACTTTTACCGGCGACAGAATTTGAAATGATTTCCGATTACTTTTTGATTCTATCAAAAAGTTATTTGGGAAAGTGTATTCCTGATATGTGGGAGTGCTGGGTCTACCTACGATCAATTCGGAGAAAATTATTCCAATTTTAGGACAGCTGGTCGTTTTTTCGGTCATTATTCGTTGAGAAGAATATGGCGTATTCGCCCTTAGTCATGTGTAGTCCAATGAACTGAAGTCGAAATAGAAGTTCCATTCAGTGACTATGTGAGGCCATTTTATTAGAGCAAGGTTTCTCAACCAGGAGTGCATCTTAAGATTTTCTAAGGGATACGCGCAGCAAAAAAGGTTGGGAATCACTGTATTAGAGGGTGAATTTTAATCAAAATTCCACTAACGAACGCTCGCTGTGTGATGAAACTGTATCAATTGAATGAATGATGAAAATTAATAAGAACATACCTGATTGATATTGCCTCCTTGCATATATAATGGTAATTGCAGACAAGGTTCAGTCTGAAATTATACGCTAGTTAGAAAAAAAATGCTGAATGCATCATTCAGCGATTACGTTGATTGAATTATTAAACGAATTTTGACAGAAAATTTCGAATGAAACTCATAAAATAGAATCATTTCAGTTGTAAACAATGATGCTTTCGACGTAGTGAAGCAGCCATCACGTGGCACATTAAAACTGAAATTTTTGATTTTTACGCAAAACCGATTCGTTAATGCCTAAACGCGGAAGTTTAACTGATGAATGATATTGAACTGAAATACGTTCTCAAAAACTAACATTGTAATTTGGCATAAGCGCACTCATTTTGATGGAAGCATTCAAAATGTAGAACGATGATAAAACGAAAAAATATGCGGATCCATCTATGTCATCAGCAGATGATTTAATAAATGCTTATTCATTATCATACACACTAACACATCGTCATGCTGCTCATAGGAAAGTTACATAACATAGTTTTGTGAAGAACTGTATTCATGAGTAATTTTCGTCGCTTCATTTCTTTTCACTGATATACAGCCCACGTTAGCATTTATCATTTGCGTGTCTATTATTTTTGATTGCGTCAATTTAGTTTTTTTGATGGAATATCTTCAAATGAAGTTCGCAAATGAGACTATCTTATCAACTGATCGATATGCACTACTAAATATCGTGATTTTCAAGTTAAACCTGCATCATTCGCATTAAAAGTTGCAAAAATTTCTTTATGAGAGGCATATTCATTCATTCAAAGAGATAACGAAGTAAATTAATGAATTCCTCATGAACATCTTTTGTAAATACAATGACCATTAAATATAGATGATTCATTCTCTGCTCAATAAAAAATGATTGATTATGCCGAAAACGAATTTTTTGAAAATTATGATGATCAACAAAACTGATTTAACAAGGCAATATTTTCGAACATAACGTTTCCATACCAAACATTAATGATGTTACGAAATTCGTCTGGGCACGTTTCATTACAAGAAGACAGGCAATTTCCAGCAAAGAAAATGTTCTGATTTGATGTTAAAATGTTTTGGTGATTGCCGAGAAGGCAGTCATCACAAGCAGCAAGTGATATGTGTGTGAAACTGTCATTAGGCATGCATCATTATCAGCAAACAACAATTCAACGAATCTTATGTAACGATCTTATTGAGGATAGTAAGCAACGAAAAGATTCACATTCCGAAATTGCAGGCTCATGCTAATGATAATTTCGTGTTTGCCACTTGATTTGGAACGTTTTCTCACAATGACTCTGCTAATTGCTTACGTGTTTTAAACTCAAAATTAACGTAATAAGGCAATGCTTCAACATTACAATGCCTTTGAAAATTTCAAAAACATTGTATGAAATGTGTTAAAATGGGAAACAGATCACGAGTCATGTATTACAACTTGGTATAACCACATGATTGTATGAAATTGAATGAACAGCGTAAATAATTATGGAGATGATGGAATAAAAAACAATACTATTAAATGCCATTCAATTGTATCCATTCACAATGAGTGAATATGTATCACCTAAAGACTAATGCGTGAATGAATAGTTGTTAGGTGGTATTAGATTCAGCACCAGGCTATCTATCCACAGTAGCGATTTCAGCATAAGACACGAACAAAACGGCGTTGCTAAGCAAAATTGATCTATTGTGGTTAGATATACATGAAATACACACGTATGAGAAGCATTCATCAGTTGCATGCCTGAAGAAACGGTTTCACATTCAACAATTTTATATTGCACTTCTTATCTTTCATACGCAACTCATTTTCGTTCATTATTTCAACTGAATTAGTTTCAGTTGTTAAAATTAACGTATACTTTTCCAGACAAAATCGCAACCTTACCACGTATGATTATCGTTGAAATCGCTTTATCTTGATTCAAACCGCTTGATTTAAAAAGAACAGTTGAATTTTTTGACTTTGCTATTGAACGAATTTTAATCTTACACAAAATTGTACATACCCTGCAGACTAAAACAGGTTTACAAAATTTTGAACCATAAACTTTCTAGATAGTGCAAATAAAACAAAAACCACAAACGGAATGAATCGCTCTTAAATTCTATGTTATGAATAATCGAATCATTTGTTAAGTGCTAAACGAGAAATAAGCACACTGTTGCATTTTAGGTAGCGGCAAAAGGACATGGATCACTCATAGACGTCTTAAGCGTAACATCACGTGACAGCATGTATCCGCATAGCTTAAAATAGATGCAAAAGTATTAGTCATTCATTGCACGAACATCAGCTGGCCTTCGTCACCATTCATCGATACGCTCATTTTAAAAGCACATTGATGGATGCATTACGGTTCCGTTTGAACGGCATGTGCTTATCATAGAGTTTAGGATGCATAAATTTCTGATGAAAATCAAACGAAACATTTTTTGCAACGCTGCAAAATAAAACGTTCCAACAACTTATTCTCTTCTCAACAGTACGCTAGCAAATCCATAAGCCTCAACGAAAATATGTGCGAAGCGAATGCAACTGTATGGTTTCATACGAACAGTCATTCATTCACATTTGATGTTTCTATGATACAAGTGTTATGTGCCCTTGTGAAGTGTCGTGATTCATTATGGAAAGCAAAAATGGAACAGAACGATCCATCCGCATTCGAACGATTCGTGGGCGCTCGATGAAATTTCAATGTTCACATAACAACCGTTCATGTTACTTTGTTTCAAGCATGCTTTCACAACTGTAACGCGAAAGTCTTCAGAATACAGGAATACGTTTCAAACAATCATATTCGATCGCATACGAATCAGCGAGTGGCCCGACAATAGTGAATCAATCAATTTAATTCACAAAACACACCAAAGTGAACGGCTTAAATTCCAGCTTCATGCAAATGATCTCATTGTTGAAACAAATCACAGCGCATCGTTAGATTTGAATGCGTCAGAAACTGCTGTAACATACAATACATTAAATCCTTAGGGGAAATGTTCGAAAAATTGAAGCCGCAATTGACAAAGCATACTCATTCCGTATTGTTCAATGTTATTTTGAAAGTGCGATTTGATCTTTTGATATAGACGAGTAAAAAAGGACATTTTTCATGAATCAAAAGTGGCGATTAATAATTAATTAATTGCTCTCAATATTAATATCGATAACAACAATCGTTTCGGTAATGAACAGGAGCATAACTATCAGGAACACGATGTAGCTGTAGAATTTTTAAAAATAACTAATTTGCAAATTTAGATGCATATTCCAATGAG